AGCTCCAGCAACAAGCCCGAGGTGCACTTCGTCAAGTACCGCACTCCCGAGGATGCGGCCAATGCCCAGTTGGCCATCCAGAACCAGTACAACCAGCTGCCCGGCGTGTCGCGCATCTCCAACGAGGGTAGTGCCCCCGTCCTCAACTTTGCCTCCCAGGCAGTCCAGCCTGCTGTGATCCCCGCCAGCGTCGCAGCTCCGGCTCCGGTTTCGGTTTCGGCTCCCAGCTCGGATTATCTGCCCGCCAATGTGGTGGCTAGCCAGGATTACCTGCCACCCACTCTGCGTCGCTTTCGCCTGAAGTAAATGTTCTCAAGAAAGAAAGTCCAACGGTAACGTTTCCTAACCAATCGCATTGAACACCTGTCCACTTCCCCATTACGTGCAATTTAACTAGCTCTTAAGTGTCGATGTAGAGAAATATAAATGTATTTTGCTGACAAATTCCCAAAGTGAACTCGAAAACTCATTTGCAGCCTAATTGCAGGATTCGGTCACCGAACCTCGTTCCGTTGTGCGAGTCTACTCGTTTTGCCAGCCAAATCCCGGCGTTGGCTGTGCCGTCTGTGTCTGTGTCTGTGCCGGTGCCTGTGCAGTCGTGCGTTGTCCTTTCACATAAAATCCCTGAAATAATAGCCTGGATAAAGCGGCTGGCATGTCATAAAGTCCAGCAACAAGTTGAGCCACCCACACACGACGCCCGCTCATATTGCCGCCAGGGAAGTGAAACGACCGCACACTCATGGAATCTCCGGCATATTCACATCGCTTTTATCCCATCCGCCATTCGTAATTGGAGTTATTAGAATCGAAATGAAGTGGTTGCACAATGGTCCGGCTCTATTTCCCGTCCACTCATTGTGAACCGGCCTAGAATGGGCGTTCTCTAGAGATGGGAAACACAGGAGAGGTACTAAGTGCCAAAAATTATATGAGGTTAACGCTGCAATATTTATCATATCTCACTATGAATACTTAAGAACAATTCTTTTTTTTCAGCAGAATTCCATTAAATTTAAGTTAATTAGAAGACTTACAATGTTATTGCAAATTTGGTAAGGGGAATTTTATAAACTTAAAACACCCTAATTTAGGACTTAAAATCATTAGAATACTTTAGTAAAACTATTTTTCTTTAGTACAATTCCTTTCAAACTTACTTAATAAAACGTCTAATGATATTCTTTAAAATAAGAAAATATAATGGAAAATAACTCTACATTTGGTTAAGGAACACTTTATTTCGGGACCCTAAATAATTAAAATTCTTAAGTTAAAATCGTTTCCTTCAGTAAATGTCGTTTAAATTTTACTTTGTTAAGAGTCTAACAAGATTCTTTTAAGTGTAAAAATATAACGGTAATAAGTATTGAATTTGATTTAATTTGAATTAATATAATTTAAGATTTAAAAAAAACCAAAGTAAGGGCTTAAATGCTATAATACAATCTGAAATTGGCCAGTTTTTGTTTTGTTTAAGGCCTAGGAACTAGCCAGTTTACGGGTACACTCACCTTGAAAATACCCATCTCTGGTGGTTATTAAGTGAGCCCTCTGCCAGTTGTGGTTTGTATAAGTGGTAACGTCCTGTTGCAGGTGGAAGCTGCCACCAATTCCAGTGCTGATCTGTGTATTGCCAGCTGACGACATTCATTGCGTATGATTGTGTATCCTTTTTTGCGGGGCGTGAGTAGAAGTGTGTGTGTGTGTGTTCCTTGATGGCTTCCTGCTTCCGTAGAAGGCAAACTCATCATGCGAGATGACAGCACACATGGCCCGAAACCACCGGGCCGGCATGAACTATGCTGGGGATTTGCTACGTTGTTGAGTGGAGTCCTTAAATTTCACTTAGACGTAACATAAGCTCGATATAAACGCAACTCAACGGTGCATGTATTCATGGCCATCAGGATGTGTGCTCCTCTGTGTGTGTGTGTGTGTGTGAACTTGTGCCCCTGCAGGAATCGCACGCTTATCAGCAGTCGAGTGCAAACTGAATCCGTTGCTCTTCTGCTCTCTGTGGTACAGTGCCAAATCGCTAAGGCGTAACGACAGCGACAATATGCCAGGGATACGGGGGTGGGGTGCGGAGGGGTCCTGGCAATTTGGGCCACCATAAACGCTGTTAGCTTGTCTGCCATTTGCCGTCTGACTGCGCCCAGACTGCTGCCTGTAATTAAGGTGATATGCAGCAGTCAGCCGACCGAATCGACGACGACGAGGCTGCCAAGTGCGTGTCCTGTGCGTGTAGGCCAACCAACTCACATCTGCCAGCTCACATGGTGCGAGTGCGAAGTCGCCGTGTGTGTTTGTGTGTTAATGAGCAGCCCGCTGAGCGCACAAAATAAATTATTAAAACGACATTCACGGAACTCTCGAGTGTCGCCCGTGCATAGCCCTCCCTTTGACGCCCAGAGATATCAGCGTTTTTTTCTTTCCACAAAGCTGAAAGGCCTCAGCAGGACGAAGAGGAGGACACTCTTCAAAGGACCCACAAAGGGGGAATTATAAAATGCAAACATATATTACATTTGCGTTGGCTCAACGAGCTACACTTTTCTCACTACATTTAAAGGGTTTCACTTTTACTTTTAAGCTGTTTAAATTGCTGGCAGAAATAATTGAAGCCTATATACAGAGTTTGTAATAACTGTCATTAATAGTCACAAGTTCAAAACTTTAAAAGTTGTTTGAAACTTGTGTTACGCCTCGGCTTAAGTTGATAAAAACCAAAAAATATTGAAAAAACTTAATAACCAAATAAGAAATGCAAAATACTATAAGCCTCTAGGACCAATAATTTTATATAACTTGCAAGAATGAGTATGTTTCAGAAATAACGTTTCCTATTTTGAAGAGTATTTTAATTCATTAATGATAAAGAAAGTCAAGGCTCCGTAAGTTGCGTATACGCGCCGTTGGCAGCAGCAGTGAGGATGCAAAAAAAAAGCGTTGCAGGCTTTTAGGCTTGGTTGCCGTTATTGAAATGCTTCAAAAGCTTCTTCAACTAACCCTCTCTTGGTCCAGATTAAAGCCACTTTTTGTGAGCAAGGGCTCAGAGGAGAAAGGCAAATACAAATAGCTGTTTTTAGTGAAACATTTGCAAATACAGCGCCACTTTCAATCTCGCCAGCTGACAGCTGCGGTAAGCCAGCAACACAGCAACACAGCGAAACATCAAAACGGCAAACAATGCAACAGTAACTGCTGTACACTCACATTTTTACTCGTATATAACTCGCAGCGCGAAACTTTTGGCTCCGCTGGCAGAATCGGGGCATTCGCTTTCGGTCCCACGGGCTAACCAATATTTCTTTTCAATTTCTGAAGGGAAAGTTTCGTTGTACAACTAAATATTTTGACATTTGTCCGCATGCAGGCAGCAACTTTGTTTCGCTAAGCGCAAATTGAAATGTGCTTGAGACAGTTCTGCCGACTCCATTGTTTTTGCCCACAGAGCGAGTAACAAAGTTGCTCGCTTTTGTTAATTTGGCAACCGCGCCACTCGCCCATGCAGGTGGCAATGAGCCACCACCACCGCCGGTACCCAGAGCCCAAAAACCCGGCTAAAATCCAAGTCGAAGGATGGGCCACACCCAAGTGCACTTGCAGTTGGCAGTTGTACGCCATGTTGTCGTCGTCAAAAAGTTTTACTTCGCCTGTCGCTGCTGCTGCAGCCGTGGTTGCAGCCGTATAGTTTGGATTTGTTGCAAAAAGTGTTTATTGGTGTTTCCCGCGAGCTCTGCAGCCGGGCCACTCTATGAAAATTGAGTTATTTGGTCGACATCGGCATTGGCATCGGTATCGACTTTATTCCCTTGGAATGTTGGCAAACTTACAAATAAACAAACAAACAGGCGACGCTTCACTGGCTGTCGAAACTTGGCTCACATGCTGCCAGTTTGGCTCATTAACCGGGCCACTCTCCGCTGCTCGACTGCGGCATATTAATTAGTCGACTTTTGGGCGCTGCCATGTATAATTAAGCAGCGAACGAGCCTCTTAACAAACCACATCCTGTCTGACTCCTTCACTTGCCACAGTCATGCCTCATTAGCGGCAAAAGCAAAGGCAAAGGCAGGATCAGTGGCAGTAGCTGGATGCAGCCCCCTGCTAATTTAATATTTATACCTTAATCAAGACAGAGAGTAGGAATACCCTTTTGATGGCCGCACAGAAAATCTGTTGATTCGGCGATTGGACAGATTGGTCCGGACTAACGATGGGCCAGGCGTTAATTGCTCATTTCCATGCAATGTTGTCGTTTCCCCCCCTCCCCCTCCCGGTTGTCCCCTGGCCATCCAGTATCCTGATGTCCTGTCTGTCACACAAATTCGGAATCGATAGCTCGCATCTGTCACCAGACACACACAAACACTCACATTCAGCCCCATCCAGCCACGCCCCCCGTGATGTGTACTGGGGCTTTGATTCCGTAATCAGGCAGCAGGGCTCGCTGCACCTTTGCGGTGTCCTGGGACGGACAAAAACAGGACAAAACATGATTGGATGGGAGAAAGAAAATACTCGGCCATTGTGTCTTGGGCTTGGGCTTGGGCTTTGTTCGTCGGATGAGGTTTAGGGCCGTTATACCCTTGACTCGCTCTCGCCATTAACTCCTCAGTTTATCCCTTCCTTGATTATTGCAGGCCATTTGCACCCGTCCCCCCCTCTGTAATTTCGTTGAGACTTCTGACCTTATGTGTCCTTTGTTTGGGCTCCTTCAATTTCTCTGCACATTTAAAAGGATTAAAAGGATATTCGTCAAACGGAAAGTTACGCAAGTTTGTTTAACGCACTTGTGTGCGCTCCTCGGCCGCAAAATCCTGTCTGCCGACCCCCGAAACTCATCATCCTGTCCCTTACCTTTTTGTATGGCAACCACTTCTTTGTGTTTTTCTACATTTGCCATTTTTTTTTGGTTTAGGTCTTTTGTTTGCACGGCCTGCTTTTAGGGGCGTGTGCTTCTTAACTGGTCCTTGAATGAAACGCTTTTGGACTTTTGTTTTCAACATTTATTTTTTAGTTTCTTTCTCTTTACCACAAATATTCGTATTTCTGTATGTATATTTAATATGCTGTATATCTCTTTCAGTGTAGTAGATTGGCCAAGCAGTAGGCGCCATATTTTTTGGGTTGAGTTGTAATCGTAATTTGTTTTTCTTCGTTTGGTAATTTACACTTCTTTAATTTTACACTTTCTGCTCAGCTCCGACAGTGTACATGTTAATAATCGTGGCTTAGTATAATAATAATACACATATTCCACACTTTTTTTTGCATTTTTGCATTTGACTAGCATAGGCTGCAAATTTTACAATTGTTTCGCTGGCTTGGTATGTCTGTATCTATAAATAAATATTTACGTTACGTTTATCGAGTTCAATTTGTGGGGGTTTCTCCAATATTCAGTTATCAATAATAGCCTCAATAATGCTATTTACCTAGACAATTTCTTAGTCCATAAAACATTTTATACAATACAAATCAGGGAAATTCAAATTAGTCTGAAGTCAATATCAAATATTTTTACACACAAATCCATGTGTTTGTGCAGGCGATTGATTCTATTCATGTTAGATAAACAATTGGAACAAAAAGTTAAAGCTTTTTGTGGTGTAAGTGTCTAAAATAAATAAACATGCCGTTTCTCTATAAATACTCTATATCTTTTATACACCTTTTACGGGTTTTTCTTATGTTTTGTTGTATACATAATTTCAATATATATCTTGTATAATTTCATGTTTTTGTTCAATACGCAATGATATGTGTGATTGGAAGATTTTGATGTGAGAGAAATGATAAATGATAAAGGTAGCCGCGTGGCAGATTCCCGGACAAAATAACCTTTTGTCTGGCAATCTGACATCGTAATACTTTCGACCTATCAAAATACAACATTCAAATATAATGTTCGTGTTTTGTGTGCATTTGTATAGCATGCGCTCCAATTTTATTATAATGCCAACATTCCTCCAACCTGAACTGGAATGCCAGATTGTTAAACACCCAAATCAATACTCATTTTTTTGGTTGGAGAGACCTTAGCAGACAATTAGAATTAAACGGCATAAATATCCATATGCTAAGCATGAAAAATGTTAATTGGCTTCCGACTTGAGAGGCTGGGCTCTCATCTTGAGGATCCGAAAATGTTACAACACTTATGATATGTTTTGCGAATTGCTGCGACACTTAATGTACTCTTACTTCATCTATATAAATATCATCCTTTCGCGTTTCACTTGCACTGGACACCTATATAGAGTTTATACATAGATACACATTTATATGCTCGATAGAGAATGCATAGTTCATAATCAGCGACATGACTGGGATAAAGTGACTCCAAGTCTTTGGCCAATTATGCATATTCATGCAGATATATGCTGCGACCACAAACGACTGAAATGTAGGCAACACGCAGTTTGTATATTTATACAGACAAATAGAGAAGAAGAGAGTGGATGATTTCGGGGGAAAACTGCGGATGTGTAGGCAAGTGTAATGCGTTGAGGGGTGTTTGCACTTGTTCATAGATTGGTGGGAAACATTTACTAGTACGAGTGATTAACAAGCCCAAAACGAGTTGGGAAATAGCTCCCGGAATGGTTTACGTAAATCAAATTATCCAGAAACGAACGATGGTTGAAATTAGCATACTATAATCATATCATTACTGAAACTTTATAGTCTACGGGTTTGAATTAAAACAGGAATAAATTATTGATTAACCTTAAAGCATTTTCATTTGTTGTGTATAAGTGTTAATATTTTTTCATTTTTTTTTTTCATTTTATTATTTAGTTCTTAGTGTATGCTATCAGTAAATTTGCATGCACACCTATTCGTAATGTATAATTTATAAATGTAATCAATTTTTTCTGTTAATAATAGACAGCGTAGCATAGGAAGACGTCAATACCTGCATAAGACATTTTAGCCATATTTTCATACATAATATGAACTTTGTTTTCAAATATTTATATGTGATGTCACCGTTATCATAATTCAGTATATTTCTTTTATAAAAAATTGTTGTAGTTCATTTAAGCATTATCCGGTTGGTTTTCTCGTCAGCTTCAGCTCTCACTGGCCATGAAACTTTATGTACTCACAATGAGGACAACCCTTGGAAAATGTTTCAACTGTGGCAAGATTTCGCCATTTGCAGTTGTAATTGTTATTTGTTGTTTGTTGTTTGTTAATTGTTAATGGTTTGTTTTAACTGATTTCGCTTGTTCAAAATGTAGGAGAACATTGCAGGCTTAGTTGTATTACTAAATTTATGTTTGGTTTTGCATTTCGCCGTTGAGTAGAAGTCAAAAATAGAAGCCTAATTACACACACATTACAGACGCTCATTTAATATATATATATTTTTAGAGAGTATAGACTAGTCCACTAATTGCTTTACATATATTTACTTTGCCGGGTTGTCCGTGGTTGCTATCATCTTGCTTTACATAGTTACATTGTTATGCTACGTGTTTAAAATGGTTTGCTAGCCATAGACACATAAAGCGCGTTTGAAAATAATCCTCCTAAATACACACAAAATGCATTCGTACGTTGTGTTAGGGACTGCGACTAAGCCGCTCCTTAACCGTCTGGAAAAAAAAACGATAGCGAGAACAATTAATGGCAACGGCAAATATTTTCCTAACTACACACTAAAACAATCCATTGCAACGATAACCATTTACACACAACGAACCGAAAATTAAGGGTCTAAATGAAAATAAATAAATAAGCGTAGTAATGTCGAGCGGAGTGGGTCCGAGGTAACCCATTACCAGCCCAGACCTCCGGGGATGACCCTTCCCATTTTGGGGGTCACCACGAGCCGCAGATGCCGCCTTTTCGACGCCTTTTCGTTTGGGTTCTGCGTGCTGTTTCTGCTCCGCCTTCCTTTGTTTCGTTTTGTTTTGGTTTTCTCAAAATGTTTTCAACACTGATTGTTTCTGTAAGCTTCTTGGTTTAACTGTCTAATTATTTTACATTTAAACGTTTTATTTCCGGGGGTACGTTGGTACGAGTACGGGTTTCGGGGCACGGTACTCGTATTTAGCTTGCTGCTGCTGGCGCTTAAATTCATTTGCCCTAATCTTAGCCTACCCTCATTTGCCAAATCCCTATCCATGACTAGTCCAAGCGCTTCAATACCGTAAAAAATATGTTTCCTTTGAGTGTTTGTTTGTTATTCGTTTTGGTTTGCTACTGCACTAAGATCATGTGTTTTAGGTACTAGCTTCGTAGCGACTGCTTTGAAACGCCAAAAAACAAAGCGGCAATTTGGATATCTACGGGTCTTTCCTAGGCCCAAACTTTTGACAAGGTCGGTAAAAGGGAAATCACCGCACTGACCTTGGAGAGCGCAAAAAACTGGGTTTCTTTGTCTAGAGTTGCAGTCGCCTCTGCCGAAACGTGTGTCCAATTAGCTATACAAAATTCTCATTCGCTACAAAAAATGGCTACTGGCCGGACTGAAGGCATTTACCCAGTTCCCGACCGACTGCAACTTAATTACAAACATTTCTCTTTGGCATTGCGGCCTTACAAAAAAGAATATCCCCGCCCGCTTCCCTCGGTCATCTGCAGTTATTTACAAGTAAACTATTTAAATTGGCCGACCAAGGCGAGCACAAATGCTAAAAATGTTCTTATAGTCCTTTGTGTTTTTGCCCTCTTTTGGGCTGCACTAATTTACGTGCTCGATCGAGCTCATGCTTGGGAAACAGATTAAAAATGCGGTGTACAATTTACAAAAATTCCAACTTGGTTTTTTTCCGATGCTGCTGTTTTTGCTGCAGCCGCTTTTGTCCTTGATGGGTTGGCGATGATGTGGTTGTCCTTGGTTTTGCTTTAACTATACCTTCTGTGGGAGTATGTCGGTGGTCTTCTCCTCTCCAGTGCGTCCCGTTTGTCCATCCCGCACCCTTTTAATAGCTGAGGGGCAGCAGGACGAGCAGCAGGAGCTGTGACAGCGACCACAAGTGCGTCACCACCGAGCCATGAGCCCTCCGCCCGGCGGAAGTCTCATTGCCATGTCCATTTCCATTGCCCAGCGCCGCCATTCCGATGCTCGGCGGAGCCGTCGACGTGGTGGAGACCAAATGACGGTCGACCTCAACTGCAAGTAGCCAAAAAATAACATACAGAGCTTTAGAATGTGATTGACAATGCTGAAATTAGTTGAAAAGGTAAGTATTCTGCCCAGTCTGGTAAACAGTAATATAAAGAACATTTGCTAAGGTCAAGGGGATCTAATTATCTTATCTCAGAGTGTATATAAATATCTCACCGCAGTCAAAATTAATTAAGCAAACAGAATTGAATCTAGAATAAAATATGAAAGGTCAAGGATAGAGCTTTGCAAAGCAAAGTTCGTCTTCTAAAATATTTAAATGCCGAGCAGTGATAAGTCCCAAAAGTTATCTAGCCAAAAATGGTTTACCGCCGACAACGAGGCACGAAGCCGCAGAAAAGGTCGTCACGATGATCGGGCCAAAAGTGCCAGGGTATAGTCTTGAGCGCTGAAAAGTTTTCGTATAAGTAAGCTGATGGCAGCCCCTGAGGGCGGCATAAGAAACAATTACAGAGTGGAGCATTCTCGGCTGCGAAGTGGCCCAAACAAATGACGCACTTTACGCAACATAAATAACACGCATACGCCCCTTGGTTCAAGTGACAGTTGGCAGCCACTCGGCCGGCAAAGAGGTCGAAAGACAACGGCGCTGCCGCCGGCCAAGGACGATGGGTGAAAGGGGGGTTGAGGGAGCAGGGAGGACGACCAACGACCATCGTGAATCATGGGCCTGGTAATGTGTAAATTATTTCGTACAATACAGGACAATTTACAGCGAGGGCTCAACGACTTGGCTGGGACGTTAGTGTTAACAGCCGGCTCGTAGGCAAACAAAGCCGACAAATATAAATTAACCTTTGTTTGGCCTGCTCTCCGCTCACCAAGAGGTGGAGTAAATGAAAATTAAACGTAGACAAAACGGCAAACATACGATTCCCCCTTTTTTGTGTACGACACCAGTTCGGTTAACAAGTTCAAGGACGAAATACCTACGCTGTCAGCTCAGATAAGGGCCGCATTGGCTTTTGTTTAAAATTCCTCGTTGGTTTCGCTTTCTGACAGTCGGGCAAAAAACAATGCCTCGTCGTATTATCATACTAATTTATTTTGTGAAAACTCATCCGTGATTCCATCTTCCATTTCATAATTTTGTGGCGCGGGGGACATTTTTGATGAGCTCAATGGTCGTAATTTCACGCGAATGTGTGTACCGAGACAAATATTTGCTTTGCATAGCATTACACGACATAAAATAAATATGCACACAAATAAACAAACTCAATGTAGTTCGTAGATTAATGCAAATCACGCACCCGCTCAATGCACTGGCACAAAAAATAAAGGTAACGCAATTTAAAGTTGCTTAAAAAGTATGTATCAAACGTATTTGTTAAGTGAATAAAACTTTGTTTTGTCTCGTATTACTATTAGAACTTATTAAATCACACTCACAAAATGAAGTTTGAGTATTTCCATTAAGATTGGATTTAATTCTTAAAAAATGTGCTGATAAGTATGCAACAATATTTTGAGTACAAAAATATATGTTTTGAATAATTATAGCCTACTGAAGCTGGGGCCTTTTTTCTCCACTAACTTTTCCACTCACCTTTCACCGAGTACGTCTTGTAGTCCGCGTACTGCTCGCCCTGGCCCACTGTCGCCGGAATGGTTGACAGACAGGTGATCTCCATGCGACTGCTGCCGCCCACGTGCTCCTCGGTGAGGTCGATGTTCATCTGGCTGATGCTGTACATGCCCTTCTCCTGCTGGGCGGCGGTAACGGCGGCCGCCGCTGCCGCCACTCCGCTCCCGCCGCCGGGATGCGAAAGTGGCCGCTGGTAGCCTGCTGCCAGCTGGTTCATGGGCCCGGCGTTCGACGGGATGCCCAGCTCCTTGTTCATGTTGGGCGCCTGCGGACCGAAACCACCGCTGTTCAGGGTACTGCGAATGATACCCAGGGCATTCTCGTTTATGTGGCGACGGTACTTGCGGTTGCTGTTCCTGCAATACAAATAAAGGACTCGATTGAGTGCCGGCAGTCTGGGTTTAATGTGCCCGGCCCGGGCAATTTGCACACAAATAAAATCGTAAATATTTGCATTTTATGATTGATGTGCGTGAACTGGAAACGCAAAACCAGCGTGGGGAAAAGGGAAAGTGAAAGTGGCAAGAAGGAGTAGCTTCCACATGCAGGGCACGCACATCTGATTCTGATTCCAATACAATGGCAAATGGGTATGGGAGCTGTCTTCATTTTGTCCGCAAAGCCCCCGAGTAATTGATAACCGTACAACCAACTTGGCAAGTCTGAATGGCCCCTGGATTGCAAGATGGCTCATTTGGTTTTCACAAAAAATTCAGAGATTATTGAGAGCATCTGAGTAAGACTTTTCCTGTCTTTCTGCTGATTGGTAAGACTTTCTAATGGTTTGCCTGCATTATGGCCTGATTAGTTTGCATTATTCAGCCGTATCGCACATTGTGAGTCTAATTAGCTTTTACGACTTTGCTTCATATTTGATAAGAAGCCTGAACGGCATACAAATGAACCCGGCTCTGCGGCTTTTCAGCTGGCTTCCACATCCCGTCCCCAGTAATTACTACGGGATTGTTCGTGTGTAGCGAACGACATGTTGCTTTATTACAAATTCAAAATGACAGCGAGATTACCTGTACCAGGAACACATACACACACACCCGGGAGACACTTGTGGCCATAAAGTTTAATGCTGCCAAACCAATTGTAAGCTGTGTTAGTTTATGGCCCTTATATATGTTTTATAGAAATCTGTGGCAAAATCGAATTGTGCAAATCGAGTGCAAAGCGTTCATTTTCGTCTCATTTAAACAATTATTCAATTTGCATAGCACTCGTCCTTGCTGCCGTCTTGCCTGCTTATGCAAATGGAAAAGTAAATGCCTTAGAATTTTAGCTGAATTATATTTAAATATTATTTGGCTAAAAGTGCACTGGTAGCAGGAGTATGAGTTACAAACGAAGGATACGACTGCCGCAGGCACTTGTACAGATAAAGCAAGGTGTCAGCAAAAAGTTTCTTTCTATGGAAGTGTTTGCTTCTCTTTCAATCTTCTCCGTTGCATACGAGTGTATATGTGTTTCGGCATTCCCAGACTTCCTCTCAACTAGAGCACTTGGCAACTGGAGGGAAAATGGGCAAGTGCCATGCAAATTGTGAAGGGCACAAGGCGACATCTGGATGCGCTAGCAATACTTCTTGGTCGGTAAAAAACTTGAACAGTAGATTACATAGGTGCTCTGCAGTGAATAATATTACATCTCGTTTAATGGTGAGTATATAAAGTAGATAATCCGTTACATTGGTACACTCAAAATGCATTTTTTAATACCGATGCATTGGCCCAAAAAAACGATTCACTTTTCTCAGATCAGGGTATGCAGTGCAAACTCTGGCACGCACGTAAAGCAAACAATTGGTCAGTTGAAGAGCTCCTCAGGAACTTAAACAGTATCGAGTGGCACTGAGACAGCAAGAGCGACTGGCAGGCAACAGCATGGGCATGGGCATGGGCATGGGAAGTAAGGCAGTAAGCAAGTTAAGCCAACAGAACAAACAAATGCGGGGCCAAACCGGGGGCAAATGCACAACATTCGCATAAGCCTTCGACAGCTCCAGATCTGCCGGCCCAACGGGCTGATGACAGCAGCTGCAGCTAGGGCATCATCAACGGAGCTGTTGCTACTGTTACTGCCAAGCTACTTCCACTGCTGCACTTGTCTTAATAAAATTCCCCATGCAGCGCACTTTTCGCAGGAAACGCTGCCACCGGTAGCGAAAACAAGGCGAGGAGCTGGGAAATTGCAGGCAAAACAGCAAAGCAGCAAAACAGCTAGGAACAACAGCATCAGCACCCGTGGCAGGAAGCTCAAGTTCAAAACATAACAAACTTGCCGAGCAATTCAAATCAGACGGAAATGCGGAGCCCGGTGTTCTTGGTCTTCGTCCCGATCTTCGTCCTGAAATATTGTGTATACAAGTTATGAAACTGCTGTCTGGCATGACACTTTAAATTCCATTTTACCCTCGAAAGGAACTACGGAATGTCTTAACTCGTCGCTGACATGCGAAACCGCCTTAAGGCTTTTGGCCCGACCCAAGGCGATAATTTGAGAAATGCGTCTAATTAATTGATAAGTCATGTAGTTTCGTTCTGTGTTCTGCTGTGGAATATTTATGTGTCTCCGGGCCGCAAAAACCGCAGCCTAATTTCGTTTGCCAACGCAGGCAAACGAGCTGAAGGCGTTCGACGCCAACGCAACAAAACCTATTAGCAATTTATGATAGACACAGCTGTCCGGAACAGAATCGAAACCAGTGCTGCCAAGGTCCCAACTTTCCGACAAATATAGCTTTGCTTCTAACTTTACTGGTACAGATAAGTAATAATTAATGGAGTTCCCTCAGTGTTTAGTGAGCTCATTAAGTACTCAATAACATTTTTACTTTATTTTAAAGGGAATATAATACTATCTACTGTCTACTATCTACTATCTACCGAATGAGCTGAGATGCGAAGGGCTTAAACTCGAAGGTATAGCTGACACTAACCAAGTTAAGAAATGGTCCAGATGGAGATTACCATTATTTACTTGTTAACTTTTTTTTTATATTTCCATTTAGCTGAATTTAGTACCCTGCTCTATTAAATCAGTTCATTCATCCCCTCGAATAGAAAGGACTAGGATTTCCAATCCAGACGAGAGCATTCGGCTCGCCATCAACCCACTTAGCTGGAACAAGCAAAGCAACTTAAGTGGGCGCAAGGGCTACGTGCAAAACCATGAATTTCTTATGCCGCCATGCACAAAAAGAGGTCTTGAAATCGGAAACCGGAACTGGGGTGAACCGCAAGTTGGCAACAACGGACAAACAACTACAACGAAAAATGGCAAAGAAAGCAAACAGATTACCAGCAAAACTTTCGGCTGGGCTAACTTTGCAATGCCTGAGCTCTTGGCCGAAATCAAATTCCGGCCCCCAGTGCAAAAACCCAACCAGTCGAACTCCCCCGCTTCGAAGTGAAAATTACATGGCGCAACGCATGCAAATTTTGTTGCCAAGTAATTGCCCAGGGCCGGCTAATTTGTATTAACTATTCAGGGGTGTAAAGTGTTTCGTCATCGGCAGCGATGCCATGTTGATGTCGACCTAACAAGTGTCTAACTTACGGCTTAAATGCGCGCGCGCACAAAAGTGGGCAGTGAAAACCAGTTTAAAACTGGGTTGGCCAACAACTGTGCACTGAGGGAATATTTAAAGAACGTAAAACTTTTTTTTATTTTAATAAACCCTTTAGAATTTAAACAAATTAAATTGACAGTATCTGGAACTTCTTATTTGTATTCAGTTCATATAGAAAACTTATATACAACCTATTAAAAAATGAACAAAAATTGATCCAAACTTTAATAAAATAATTTTAAAATTCTTTAGTTATAAAAACTAGTTATTACGATAAAAGAAAGTCAATAATTTGTGTTTGTAAAAACAAATGTACGTTTTTGATTATAGTTTACAGAAATATTTTTGATTTTGTTCCAGAGAGTCTTTACTTTCTCGCAGTGTAGGCCGGCAGGAAATTCCAGTGGCAGGTACCTTAGAAACCTTGCTCCATTACCACGAACACAACTGACAACGGCATCTGTTACGCGTGCGAAATTATAACTGACAGCAGCGCTTCTTTTGTCGTCGCTGACTCGTCCTGGCATGCGGTTCATTGAATAATTTATGCACAATAAAGTGCCACCGCCTCCACCGCCCCCTCCTGAAGGTCGGGACAAAAATAGGGCCAACATGCCAGAGGGAGACATGACTGACAGCGAACGAGTTGTTTGGATTGCTATGCAAATGCATTCGCGTCCTGCGAAAACTTTAGTAAGTGCCCTTGAAACTGTTTATATTAATTGCATGCGTGTTCTCCTGCCAATCGCATTTCCACCTGGGCTGGCCAACTAATTACAGGTTAAATCAAACGGAAAATTGTTCATTACGAGAGCAGTCTATGACCATCATTCATCATTGAACACACTCAATTAGGAAAAACAATTTGATAAATTTAGTTTAAATCAAATTATTACAAAGTAGTTGCAAAGCCCGTGGCCGCAACACATGTTGCACGCGACTGCGGGTGGAAGTTGCCCTCGGCAAACCGCTCGTAATTGGCTTAATTGGGCATTTATCGTCAATCACGGAGTTGCATGTTCATGTTTGGCTTGAAAAATGCATATTTCCGTAATTAACTTGATTGCGTTTCGATGGCAAAGGCCGCAGGTCTTTAAAATCCGGACATCCAGACATCGGGGCTAAGTTCATTACCGGCAAAACAGTTTGACAGACATTGACGGCTAGCCGGAAAGTATGCATCCAAGTCGTGCGGTTTGGGGTTCAATTGGGCAATCAATGAATGAATGTATCAGGCATATCAAATTCCACAATGAATGCTATCATTAATGCCAAATAATATGCAAATTGAAACACCAAAACAAGAAAAAAACAATGAAACGATACCCTAAACCACAGAAATGCCACAAACGACATGGGGTTAATTTGCATAAATAGGTTTTTTTGTGTGCTGACCATTTGTTGCTGTTGTTGGCCAGCGTATTTACGAAATCGTAATTATGACCATAAATCAGATACGGTGGACAGTCAGTGGACAGAGAAGCTGTACGATTAGTGATTGATTTGTGATCTTTCATAGCCAGTCTCCACTGCCGGTGTGATATTCGGATGGCATTCATTAATTTTGAATTTGGCCAATTATTCCCAGAATTTTGTGGATAATGTAACTGATTTGTTTAGCTTTCTTCCTTTTTCGCGGCTACACAGCCATTTATTAAATACAACCAGCTATGCAAATCGCAATGGCATTGCTCCACTTAAGTGCCCATAATTTTTGGTTTGGCCTACCAACGGCCAGTTCCGTGGTGGTTTGTTTTTGCATTTCGTTGCCGAACGAAATTGGCAAACCGTTTTGAATTTATGCAAACTAATGCTGGCGGATACAGTTCCAGGGTTTTGCGTCACCTGCAACGGCTAGTGGTATTGGTATTCGTATTGGTACTGCTATTGGATCAGTTTCAATGGCATGGGCTACACCCGCTGTGTTCCAGCTCGGAAATCTGCATCTTATATTGAACTTGCTCGGGGCTTGCCTATAAAAACGCCCCTCTTCCAGATGGGCTGCAGCATTAACAGCTTACACCTCCCGGCGTGCCCAACACGTTAACAGATTCAAGCGAAAATTGGTTTGGAGAGCAGCCATCAATATGCGTGGATTTATTGTAAGTTTAAGTGGTGCTTTTGATTTGGAATGTTTGTATTAATGTTGGTCTCTCGTTTATCAGATTTTAGCTGTCTTGGCAGTGGCTCAGGCTGATGTGGGTGGCTACAACTATGGCGCAGGTATTGGCGGCTCTGTCTCAGGAGGTTCCATCTCTGGAGGATCCATTTCTGGAGGTTCCCTCTCAGGTGGATCTATTTCTGGAGGCTCCATCTCCGGTGGATCTCTCTCTGGTGGATCTTTTGGCTCCTCTCAGACTTTCGGAAATAACTATGCCCCTGTGAACACCGAGTTCAACAAGGAGTTCTTCACCTACTCCGCCCCAGAAGCTGACTTTGAGGACAACCGAAACATTGGCGACTTGGCCGCCTCCCTCAAGAAGAATTTGCGAGTGGTTTTCATCCGGGCGCCGGAGAATAAGGGTCTGGAGAACGCTGCTCTGGCTCTGGCCAAACAGTCTGCCGAGCAGCAGACCGCCATCTATGTCCTGACCAAGCAGGGCGATCTCTCCAGTCTGGCCAACCAGCTGCAGAACCTGAACCATGTGAGCGCCAGCAAGCCGGAGGTGCACTTCGTCAAGTATCGCACCCAGGAGGATGCCCTCAATGCGCAGCGCACCATTCAGCAGGAGTATGAGCGCCTGGGTGGCTCCTCCACCTCCCACAATGGAGGCGTGGCACCTGTCCTGGACTTTGCCACCAAAATTCAGCAGCAACATCAGCAACTGCAGCAACAGCAGCAACAGCAGCAGCAGCAGCAACAGGTTCAGCTAATTGATGAGCGTCGGGCCACCACTGGCAGCGTGTCCGCCGAACTAGAGGCTCCTTCTGCTGGATACATCCCACCTGCAGCCGCAGCTCCCAGTTCCACTTACTTGCCCGTAAACAAGGTCAAGTAGAGGGCCAAATCTTAAGTTACAAATTAGCCAAATTGTGTTGCACATGTGTGCTCTCTTTAACCAACTACTCTTTAAAATAAAAAGTTAATTTAATGAATACCCGAACCCGATTGTTGCTGCCGAGATTAATGGAAGGCGTCATTTCAGCGCCTTGTAGCCATTATCGGCCTGCACTTAGCCAGCAGACCTGGCCGGCAATTAAAACTAAAAGCGCATTGGCATGAGACGGGCTTAAAAGTTGCCGTAAATTTAAGTGAGCGACTGCCCTCTGACCCCGGATTTGTTTGGCGGGTAATGGCACGTCAACCGGCGAACCGACGACCATATTTGACCCGCCCTAAAAGATTACTGCCACTCACGCGATCAGGGCCAACAGGGTAGAGCTAATTACCGCCACAGAGGCAATTTCTGGCGCTTCAAGTCCGCCAGTCGCCGCGACATTTAATGGCCGCCCTTTTGAGGGTCAAGTCGGTGGCAATTTCGGTCCTGCACAAGAAAACCACACTGAGAATTACATGAAAATTACTAGCTGCATTTAGGGGCGCGCCCTTCTTTGTTGACCGAGTCGAGAATTCCAGCAAGCAGCACCCGAAAGTGCTTTGTTTTCTGTTTTACACAAGTCCAAAGAGTGTCCATTCGCGCACTCTCACCCACATACCTCAGTATAATTTAAAAATTTAGTTTTAATAGCAATTGCATTTGCAGCCGAGTGCCAAGATCCAGGGAGACCCCTAAAAACTGGCAAGGAGCTCTTCTTAAAGAGGTGTTTCCAGTGGCCACTTTAAGCCAACGCGTGTTGGCGTTTTGGATTGCTTTTCGGTTATATCGTGTGTGTTAGTGTTTTGTGCTTTTTTTTTGGAGGGGGGCTGCTGCCACAAAGGAAGTGTGCAGAGGGCAAGTAAACTGCCGGAATAATAGCCAGGTTGAAGCTAGACGCAGACAGGGACCTTCAGACCTGCCCAACATTTAGTTTCAGCTCTGTTCAGCTCTTTTCTGGCGTGGGCCTGCCACAAAAGGCCCTACGTGTTGCACAAACATAAATTGTGCAGCAACGTGAAAACTACTTTTTGACTGCATAACGCGCACCATTCCTATTGCTGTTCTCATGTCCTTGCTGGCCCATTGTGAGCCATCTTTCTCATGAACACCGTACAACCCATTTTTGTACCCTTGACGAGGGTAAATAAACTTTGGTTGTATTTAGATTTTATCTAACCAAAACCCCAAGACATTTTAATTAAGATATAATAAACTCTGTTTATGAATTAAGGTATTTTAATTTAATTAATTTAATTTCCTTTAAATAAGCTCTTATTAATTTTTTTATGTCCGTAAGTTAATGGTTAAAATTATGTTTTCTAGCTAAGGTAGTGTATGGTTAAGAACTGTATTTTAATTTGTAATTCATTTGTTTTGTTTTAATTAATTTGTTTTGTTTTATTTCTCAAATTGGAAGCTTGGTAGCTGATGTACATTTTTTTTTGAATATTTAGCCTGTAAGGGTATTTGCAGTTCGACTTTTTGAAGTATAATTCCCTGCTTTGTTGGCCATTCCCTAGACAAGTGCTCATTCAGAGCTACGTGCAACGTCTGCCTTCGAAGCTCGTTGGCTGCCATTCCGCTTTTGTTCTTTTCATGTTGCAATCTTAAAGGGTTTTCCATCTGTGCTTCAGGGGAAACAAAGAAACAAAAAGAAGGAAAGGAAAGCTGTACCGGAGTATGGCATTATGAAAGCTTTCTGGTGTTCCGGCATTTGAGTAGCACTCGTCGGGCTGTCAGCATTGTAGTCACTTATCACGTTAAGCGGTTAATTACTTAGCATGGCTCAAGTCAGACAGCCATGACTACTGACACACATTAAAGTGACCCGTACTCAATATTTTATGTGGGCCATAAATCTTGCAAGGTCGCTGGGTTCACTGGGGTCAGGCGGAGGGCAGTGGGCGGTGACATTAGCATTGCATTTGCATAAAATAACATGAATATTTTCGCCACACCCCCGCATACCATACACCCCCACACATACACACGTGTGACCCATGATGCACAAACTTAATAAACAGTGCAGTTTGTTCCACGCCTGGCCAGCCAAGCAACCCACAGAAACATAAATAGAAGGATACACCCATCCACACACACACACCCACACACTGAGTGAGCCCAAGGAATTTATGCACATTGGCATGCACATAAACGCTGGCTGTTGCTGGTTATTGTTGCACCACTCGGCCTTGTCCTGCCATTGTTTTCCTTGCTGTTGCATGTGCACTTTTTAGCCATCCCTCTTTCCATTTACCCCGTTTTACGGCAGGCGGCTGCATAAATATGCAACGCTTTTCACGTGGTCTTATGGCAGAAGGGCTTCACAGTTTACGTAATGGTCGGGACTGAAATCACGCCTACACTAGCCCATAACTGAAGCCATCTACAGGTGTCTGCAGCAGGTGCTAGATGGAGAAAAGTTAAACCAAGCAGTAAAGGTGCAAAAAAAGTTGTACAACTTAATATCTTTTATGGCCTTATCTGGTTACAATGGGTTCGAAATGGTTATTTTAAGGGCATTTTAATTTATGAAAATTATAATAATTATATTATGTTTATAAGTAAATTTCTAGTGCAATAGGTTATTATTCTGTGGAACTTTCGGTTTTCACCTTTACAATTTAAAACTATAACATTAAATTGCACAATTTCAGAAACCATAAAATTGATTTCCTAGAGCTTAGTAAAACAAACGAAGTATAACAAACACGAAAATATTAACCAATATTATGGGTATAGTTATATTTATAGGTAAATATTTAATACAATAGGTAAAACATTCTGTGGTACTTTCGGATTCTATCTTTACCATTTAAAGCCAGAAGATTTGATTGCATAAATTAAAGAATCAAAAAATTATTTCCTAAATCATAGTCAAATAAACGACTTTAAAGCACTTCCTCAATCCTTTTTTCCTCTCAAGATTTAAGCTAATGTTAAGCAATAGCGCCTGCTGTGCTTTGAATATAAATTATTTCATATTGCCGTTGGGCTCTCAGCGAAATTACATCCCCGCCAGTCCCTTCCTCAGAGGCTCACACCCTCTTTAAAACTACCTGCTACTTACGGCACTCTAAAATGGGGGAAATTATTTATATATAGTTTCGTGTGCTACTCTTGCATTCGGGCTGGATTCTTTTCTGCGGCAAATGCAATTAGCATTCGCTGATTACCCGGCGAGGAAATGGCACGAGTGTAAATTATGGTTTTTACTTTATGGCAAATTAACCAGGTGGGTTTATTCCCCACACACATGCGCGTCACGAACTTTTAACGGAGCCATAAGCTCCGGATTTTACGGAGGCTGATTTCGAAACTTTTCGGCTTATGTAAATAAAAAAAGTAAGTGGCAAGTAACCGCCATTAAATGGAAAATTCCGTTGCCAATTACTATGGTCCTTGACCATTTAAATATTTTTTAGCCCATTCAACAACCCAAATGGCCAGTCGATTTGAAGGTGTTGGGCTGTCCGGCTTTCATTACATGAACATGGCACATCAGCTTCCTGGCAGCACCATTTCTATTTCAAGTTGCCCCAACTGCCAACAGCGAACTTCCAACATGCCCTTCCAAGACGTGCCACGTGGCGTATGTGCAATGCCGACTTCAAAGAGCAGCCACTTCGTGAGGCGGAAAGCGAATCGTGGCTTTCATTAAGCTGACACCTCACACACTGCCCCCTCAACATGAGTCCTATACAGTACACTATACCACGTCCTTACACTCCTACAAAGTTGGGGGCCAAAAGTTCTTATATTGGAAAAGTTTCACAGCTTGATTTTTAATATCACAGGTGAACGTAAATAATTTATTGCATTCATTTACGTTTCACATCCAATCGCGCCACGTAAAGATTTCGAAAGCCCAGCAAGTTAAGGGGCGTTTTCTGTGGTAAACGGGCCAGCCAGCCAGCCAGCCAGCCAGACGGAGCCAGAGTTGGGCAACAAAATTTATTTATGCGTTATACAACAAAGGGCAAAGACGCCGGGCAACAAACTCTAACAATGTGCCAACAGCCGTTGGCTTTAGCCGGGGCCAAATCCTTTTAGACCATAGATAAGGAAACTTTAATAAACACGCCACACACGCAACCTGGGAAATTGATAAGAATATGAAAAGTTTGCGGCGGTGGCGATGGCGTTAGTAAAAGTTTTCATGCCCCGGTATATGAGAACCTTTGGGCACGTCTAAGCCGGTGGCTGAAAGTTCAGCTTTTTTTTAATTTGTATAGCCCATAAATACAGTTCAGGGTCCGGTCAGGTGGCTTGATTAATGTCCTTGCGATCCGCTCTCGACTCCCTCTCCCAGACTCACCTGTGCTTCTTCATCTCCATCTGCTGCTGCTTCTTTTGCTCCATCTTCTTTTTGTTGCTGTCGTAGTTGCGCTGGTGCACCTCGTGGAACTCACCCACGTCATGGTAGTTGGCCAGCGAGCCAAACGGATTGTTGTACAGGCTGCCATGGTGGCCATGACCCTCGTGGTGGTGCGACAGAAAGTGCGGGAACTCATCTGCAATGCCGGAGCAAAGAGGAATTGGAGCACAGGTCAGCAATCAAACTAATTAAGGTAAGCACTGTATTGACAGTCCCCCGTTTGGAACGCAAACAGAGCAGAAAAGTGTCACATAAGCCAATGGTGCTTCACAGCTTGTTGTGTTGTCAATTGCAGATACACGGAAAAAAATATATAAGTTACAACACAACTATAAAAAAAAACAAAAAATTTGGGTTTTTTGGTACAGAAATCCCTAGGTTATTGTTACTACTTGTAAAGGTGTCTAAGAGTTTGCAATACAATAAAATAAAGGTAAGTAATAAGTAACAGTTTTAGGTCTATGCCTGTTTAAATAACTTTGTATCTCTCATTCAATGTGACTAGCACTAACAAAATAAGTGTAAACTTGCTGCGCTGGAATACTAATTATAATAAAATTATAAAATTGAAATCCGGTAGATTCATTAATATCAAATATTTGCTTAAGACTTTGTTGTCTTTAACATGGTTTCATTTTGTTATTTTACTGAAAATAAGGCTCATAATGAAACCAATTTAAGCTGAAAGCATTGTGGTTTAACGTTCTATAAATATCAAATAATTGTTTAAGATATTTGTTTTGTTTTGTTATTTTACTGAAAAACGTATTTTATTTTCAAACGATATATATATTGTATATTTCCAGCTTGTTAACAATTCAGTTACTTGACAAACCCCAAAGTATAATTCTGACGTAGGTCTGTCCGATTTTTCTCTGTTTTCATTGCTTTTTCCTCGGCGGACAATGGCTACTCACCCGCTCGTGCTCCTGCCGGCCAGCGTAAGCTTTTGTCGTAGCGGTCCATGAATTGGCCAACGGGGATGTGGTACTGCTGATGGTACTGATTGAAGTACTGCTGCTGGAAGTATTGCTGCTGCAGCTGCTGCTGACTCAGCTGCGTCTGCTGTTGCTGCTGCGTGCGGCGCTGGTTCTTGCCATTGAACATGAACACGTGGTGGGTGCGCACGTACTTGTCCTCCACCTGTCGATACACAAAGGAGCCCGAAAGGCGGGGTATAAGTCCATGGGTCAACAAATGGCGAGTGGGCAGCAATTACAATGAGCTGCGCACAAAAGTCACTTCAATGTCAAATCTCATTCCAGCTACACTTGTGGACCCGAGCGTCCGGCTTAAATTAAATATGGATCAGGACCCAACGGGTCAGTTCCATATCCACATGCACAGCCACATCTGTGTGCTGCAGTTGTTGCCCCCAGCGCGTTTTATGAATAAATTTCATTTTCGAGTTGCCCAGGCAGTCATAATGAATTTATTTAAATTTCATTTCCTCTCGCCGCCGACAACAGCAGCTGGCCGAGGGCTTTTGCAATTAAAACTAAAGCTGTCCCGACCGCCCCCATGTAGGCCATAATTATAAAATGGCTTAAACTGATGTTAATCTTAATGCACTGTCCACGATCCAGTGGCCTTTGCCCATCCCCATGCAGTCGTTTCGAGTGCAATATCCTGCTGATTAACCTGCTACTGCCTGGTGGCACTTTTCGCAAATAAACGGTCTGTAAGTGATCCATTGCAATTCGGCTCCGATTGCGGGCAATTGCGCAATCGAATTGCGAATTGGCCGTTTCAAATATCACGCATACGCACCTTTTTGCCGTTGATTAGCCACGTGACGTGCGGGGCGGGGCGTCCACGGGTGGTGTTGCACAGGGCGAAAAGTTTCTCGCCTACCGCGAAGGGCGTTCGCTTGCGAAACTTAATGGTGGGCGGACCCGGCTGGGGCACTGAATGGATAGGATATACAAATGTAATACCATAATTAAAAGGGGTCCATTTTGTGTAGCTGTTTGCCAAATTGTTACGCACAGAACACGCTCATGAGCACATCGGCACTGGCCTTGGTGAAAATGGGGGTGTCCGTGGAGACCTCACAGTAGAACTGGCCGGAGAGATCGAACTGGACATCCTTCAGCGTCACCTGCTGCTCGTTGGAATGGTCCCACTGTTAATTAGAGGGGCGGCAAGAACGAAATGACGAATTAAAGTGGCTAACACAGTAAGCTCATTAGCTCAAATCAATTGGTCCGAAGGACATGCAAGTCCACAAATTAGCAGCAATTTACTGGACTACTCTCAGATGCCTCTCACGAGGACGAATACCGCATTGTTCACTGACAGCGGTAATGATGATTGATTAAATAAGTGACCCAAACCCAATACTTACGTCGATTTCGGCCCCTTCGATGGTGGAGTTGCGGAATGGCGGATTCCTGCCGTTTATGAATTCGAAAAACTTGCCCTTGTCAACCTTCAGCCATGTCACCTGCAAGAAACAATAAGCATTTACCGATATTAAAAGAAAGCCACGATTGCCCAGGACCCCCAATTTGATTCAGCTTCAGTTGCGGATTCAGATTCAGCTTCAGATTCGGGGAACTGATGTTTCTGACAGTGATTGAATGTGTCAGGTTTGATGGTCGTCCTTGGCCCCTGATCACTTAATAAATGGCTTAAATGTCATTTGCCAATTCGAGTGCGTTGCGCAATCCAACAACGTCGCCCCAATTCCCTGCTAGCGACAGAGCAATTTAAGTTGGCAACAAGTTGCACTAACTGAATGATGCTGCGCTGAGTCGTTGTTAGCGCGTTAAACTGTAAACTGTAAATAATAAAACGTTTTTATTCGAATGGCAGTGCCATAATTGCGAAGGGAGTGCTGGCGCATGTCGCCCCCGCAATTAAAAGCAAAATCTACAAGCGCAACTTGCAGTGGGACACAAAAAGTTGTTTCCGTTTTTTCGTGGGTCGAGGCCGCGCGGATTACGACAACGACAACGACAGCGACAAATATGAATAATGAAAATGGAAATTAATTTTCATACACAAGTTTTCCACATTCAACTTAAAACTAGCTGGGGAGCCGGATGGCGGCTGACAACGCTTTTCAGCCCGGATGTGCGGCTCTTGTCGACCATTTTTAATTACAGCCGGCATTTATTTATTATGCATATTTTTTAACGCCCCTGCGTTTATGCTTCTGCTTTAATCATATTTCAGCGGTGGTAAAGTCGAAAAGTAATTTACTTTTATCAAAGCTCGTAACTAAGTACTTTAAAACGAGAACCATAAAAAATTACCAAAGGAAATTATACAATTTTTTTGTAAATACTTTTTCATTTTGTTTGCTGATGAAAATGGCTAGTCGATTGTTCTTGCAATCAGGAAAATAATTTGTTAAGCTCTTTAAATCGAGAAAAGGTCACCAAAGAAGTGTTTAAACACGATTGGAGATTGTTGAATTGAGTTTTTATGGTTTTTGTTTTATGCACTATCAAATGAAATAATTTCAAAGTAAACAAACAAATGCACACAAAATGTTATGCCTTTTTTTTGGCACTAACTGCTTTATGAAAACAGAATTAAAAATGCTCAGGACTGTTCACCATTGCACCCCGATGAACTAACCAGGTTGACACGCTAGTGACAAATTGCATTGATTGCACGCAACTTAATAATATTAATGTGCTTATTGAATGTGTCTGCGGCAGACGAGGCGTATGCGTAATTTGTGCCGCAAGTGCTGTCATTACTCAAGCCAGCGGCGTGGCCCGTGTGTGCTTAGCACTGTGCGGGTCAATCAATAAGGTCCATAATGAGAGGACAAACATACGCTCGAGCTCGGAACTCGAACTCAAACACAAACACCAGCACAGAAACAAACTCTGCGGTGGTCGTGGCCTGTGGGATCTCGAATGACCGGCCATTAGCGCACTCTAGGACCGCCAAACACGCATCCAGTTTTATCAACCACTTGTGGTCGTTTCAAACATTCACTCTCTGCTTGACATGCAACTCCCTATGGCCGCAATATTGCCAATGGATCTGAAAGTAATGAAAAACAAAGGTCCTCCATCGACCCTCCCGTTGCCAATATTTACCTACTCGCTTAGTCAGCGGCATGTGTTTGCTTTGGCGTGTCTGCCTGCGCTGCCTGCGCTGCCTGCGCCTCCTGACTTTATTTCTTTGACTTTCGGGTTTTTGTTTATATTTGGGCTTATTAGCCCGCATATATAGGACCTGCCTGCCTGACTGCCCCTCTCCCAGTCCACAGTGTCGACAAATAATACACAAGGGCTGAAAAGTGGTAAATCAAAAGCCCATTAATGGCGGGTCCGATTGCCAGGCATCCGACTCAGTCCGTAATTAGTTTATTTAATTTGAATGTGTACGAGTATAATTTTTTGGCGAAAAAACTGATGTCCTACATGTGTTAAGAGGCCCGGGGCGGCCGACATGATCCCGTCAGTGTACGCATTTGCGTTTTAATTGCCTTTTTAGTGCCACTTCCACACAATTTGCCACGCTTCGTGCAACAATTCGAATGGCGACGACCCAAGCGCACTCGCTTATATAGTTAATTATACTAATTAGCTATTGCCCTGGCCTGGCCACAACTCGACCGACTGGCCAAATAAATAAATGTCTACATCTGAGTGGGCTATTTGCCCGTTGTTTGGCTGTTTGGCTGTTTGGATTCGGTCAGCCCGCTCACTAATTGTGCATGTTTCCCGCCCCGGAGCACACTTCAAATTGGCTCGACTCAGCGCCGCATTAAATTTGTTAAGTTGACACTTCTCGTCGGTCAGCCCCCGAATTTCCATGCAAATGAGACACCACAATGACGGCTTAAAGTTGCCACTGGTCACGATCCGGAAACACGACATGGAATTCCGTGTACTCTATGGTTTCGAGAGGGCTTTCGACTCACTCGGCATAACAATGGATACCGCTCCGCGTTTATAAGTACATACATTTCACCTCGCGACCCCTCCCCACTGTCAACGTCAATTTAGCTGTGTTCTAAATCCATCTTAGCTACAGGAAAAATATAAAAAATAATCAATATACGGCTAATGTCGGCAGCGCTGCCTCTCTGCTATGAGCCATAAAATTTGTACGCTTTTTTATGGTACTTAGAGCGAGCAAAACGTCATGCGACCTTGAGCCGGGATCGGTCTGAATAGTGCCTCCAAATTGCCTGGCCACCACAAAAGTTCACAGCCAAATTGAAAGTATGCCGGGGGACAACCAACGGCAATTCGGTCAAGTTTTCCCTGCCTCCCGTATGTTGGCCATAAGCCCAATGGCCCAAGGGCTTGGCTATGATTTTGGCGTACGCAAGTGCGTGTCTGTTGATGTTTCGTGATGAAATTAAGTAAACTGAAGTGAAATTAATTGCTGCGTCTGGGAAACCGAAAGCGAAACTGAGTCGATATTGAGACGGAAGCGGTAAAAGGTCTACAGCCCTCCCACTCTACGGTGCTACGGCGTATTCGATGGAGCGGAATGGCACTTTGAGTGCAACTTTTTTGCAGGCCAAGTCCGCGGGGCGGGATACCCATGCCAATGTCGATACCGATGCCTTTGACGGCCACAAAGTTGCGGTACGAAACTTGAGAAAATTTCAGCTCCTGCCCAGGGGATACGGCTTGGGATTGGGCTTGGTTGTGTGGCTGTGTGGTTGTGTTTGTCACAGTGCCGGAAACTTTTTGCCCACAAAATAGCACAAGGCGAACAAAGTTTCTTTGTGCAGCGAACGACCGACCGACCAACCGACCACCCGTACGACAATTTTTATTTTTCAATTTAAAGTTTTTAATGCGCTTTCCATAATTTATATGCGCATGCATCACATGGTCTGGATGGAGTTAATCCGCGTCGCAGTCACTTACCTTGAACAGTATTTCCGGCTGGACATTGTGCGTGCACCTGAAGGTGGCGCTCGAGCCGCGCTCAACGTACCGGGGCACCACTAAATTCACATTCAAGTCCGATTGTCCATCTGCGGGGAGAACAAAAAAAACATACACACATAAAATCAGTAAGGGCTGGAAACAAAGGAACTAGTACAACAGAAATCTCGCTCAATTGAGGTTGAATTGAATTCCCATTAAAATGCTGGGTCGAATGAAAAGAAATCGGTAAAAATATGCAGGCAATTTAAACAAGCCACCTTCCGGAACTCCCAAATAGTCCGGCCCACGACGCGGCAGCCCTGCATGAAAGATACTTCAGTGAACTGGCAGATTGCGGGACATCGTCCTTCGACCTGGCTCAATAAATCTTAATTTGTTTGCCAAAGTGCACATGAGAAATTTGTGCGCCTGCATGCCAGTTCGGTGTGGGTACGTTGGACCTACAGCCCGGGGTGTCAAATATTTGCAGCCCCTCCCCTGGTCGCCCAGTTTCCATTTTTCACACGAAGGAAATGGCTGGACAGGAGCGTGGCCCATTTGGGTGGCATTTAAACGACATTTTCCCGGCACTTTGTCGGCCAGCACGTACGACCAAGGTGCTGGCACTGAATTGAGCTTAAAAAATTGAAAATTTATATTTGTCTGCAGTTCACACACATGGCTGGCCAGCGACACCATCACCACCACTCTGGTCTCACGCTGCGTATACGTAATGTTTTCGCCTGCTCTGTCCGGCAGTTGATGACATTTAGTATGTGCTCCCTGCAAATAACAAGCACGTTAAATTAACTCATTTTTTGTGGGCAAATAGAAAATTAAGAAAAGACTGTTACGGTTGAGGCAGACAATCAGGCAAACATTTTTTCAGATTCAATTTCCCCAATTGACTTTGCATACTACAGTTCGAAAATCAATACATTAATTTTGAATGTGCCAACACTTTCGCCTTTCCGTATCATAATTAAGTCACAAAATGGCCGTGGTAAACACATTGCCCCAGTTGGAGGCTCTATCCAGTAGCAACAACTTCGCTTCCATTTTCATTTATTCACTCCACGCGTCCATCGTCAGTCACGCAAAATGTCAACGACTGAGTAAGTAAAAAACGTGTCTGACAGCGCGAAAAATATGGAAATAATCGGATAACGCAAAACGAGGAGAACAAAACCCAATGAAATGAAGCGTGTCAAGTGTGCATACGTATATAGGCGAATGCGAATGCGAATGGAGGCCCGAAACAGTTGGCAACTTGTTGCCGTACATGGCATAAACATGGCCAGCCTTCATCGGCCTGGTATTGGTTTCGTAGCCCCCAGCATGACGTACGTGTTCGTGCCGCACGCTAACGAGCCGAAATTTGCGAAAATTCAATCATGACCCGGCCAGCTGGCTGGCTGGTTGGATGGCCAAGACCAGGAGACCAGGCACGGCATCCCAAGCCCAAGCCCAAGCCGAAAGCCAACCGCAGCCGCAACAGGAGAAGATGCCCAGGAGCGGCTGTCAGACACCAGACACACTTTGACTTTCCAGGATCTGCTGCTGGCTTTATAATCATGTCGGCTTTTTTCGACATTCATGTCGCAATACTTCTCGTCATTTTTCAGCCCTGGCAGCTGGCCAATATCGTATAGTATGTCTGTGCGGAGACGATAAACCGGATAACGAATTTGAACTGCACGACCGCTGACAAGATGCTCAGCAACCGCAATTATGCCCCGTTGACTGCCTGGCAGACGGGCTCTGAAAAAATTCATTACTAACTCTGGCGAAAAAAAATGGACGAGGCAACTTCTGCTTCTTTGGGTTGTGCAACAAGCTGCGAGGCGAGTTGGCAGGAGGCTTAACATTTCCACCACTCACTGGATGGATGGTAGGGAAACAGAAAAAAAAACAGAAAATAATAAAAACGAGCAGCGTTTCTTTGTTCGCGTTGTGCTTTTTTACAAGCGGAAATTGATGATTTTCTACGAGCCGGGCGACAATAAAGCGTGCATCATGTCAGAAAAACGCAAATAATCAATCAATCAGCATTAATCAACGCTCTGTGCCGCGACAAGCCAAAGTGGGCAACAGTTGCGGGGGCGTGGTTCTGTGCTCTTGCCTTCCATTTGACTTTAACAACTAGATTAGGCTTCGCAGGAAATTGATATTTATCGCCACAAACTCAATTCGGCAGTAGATAACACTCAAGTGGTGCGAACAGATTCATGGCTTGCAACTTTATTGGTTTCCATATTCATTTCTGTTTTCCGATGCCCCCACCTTTCACTTCACTGGAAAAGCTTGCACACAGGTGTTCGAAAATACACACGACAGACCACAAACCGAAAGCATAATAAATGTATACCCCATCCTAAGCAAATTTAACTCAAACTTAAACTGCTGACCACAGAACCACTGACCAGTGCCAGGAAATTTGAGCAATTTTCCATTCGATTCGGGTGGTGTTGCCAAGGCCATGATTAATGAGCCAACTATTTAAGTCAATAATTGTTTGCCGCTGGAGAATTTAATAGCTTCCACTGGACAGATGATTGATTGACACCAGTTCACATGGACACGTCGCAATAATTAAAGAACCATTCTGTTGGTGGTAAACTTTTCCGCTAATTAAAATAAAGCCCAACAATAAAAAAAAAAGTACAAATAGCGGGCACGTTTCTCACTGATGGCAATATAAATATTTTCTCGATAGCCATTAATTGAAATATGTGCCCAGAAATAAATATATTCTTCAGTGGGGTGCTTTTGGCCATTAATTAATTGAAAAACATTTCGTACGAGTTACATACATTTCACAAAATATTATATATATAAAAATAAAAATATGAATAAATAGCCAACATTAATTATTAAATTTGTATGTTAGGCTTAAGAATTATTGTAGAATAGCTCTGTTATTAAAATCATCAATCCCCGAAAACTTGAATACATATTAAATTATTGGATAGCAATCCAAAATTATCTTATCGAAAATTGCGCTTAAGTCAGCGGATTGACGCAATAACTACTTACGTTTTTTTCACGGGGAGCAGAATCCAAAAAATGGACAAAGCCCACAGCTTATCACACGTTTAAGAGCTAGAAAATGGTAATTAGGTGAGGCTTGGTATTCAACTATCAAAATTGATACCAATATTTTTGTTGTTTCTTTTTTTTTGTTAGGCTTTAAGTTTTAAGTACAAATTAAAGTTCTGGTCGAGCATAAATTTTACAATTATTATTTTTCTTGTCAAAGTTTTAATTTTTATGACTGGCTTTCACCTAAAAATCCTAAATTTCAATTTCACAGTGTCTTGTTCAAACGTTTAAAGCTGGTTATGTTCGAGTGCTGCCTGTTCCAAAGACATTCAATAACATCGACTTGGGGTCAGCTGTCTTGGCCCGCCCAGCTGTCAGTTATCCAGATGGCTGGGATTCATTATGGCAGAGTGGCAGACAATGCTCGGGCATTCACATTCCGTGGAGTTCATTAGACACGGGCAGCTGCCAAGGAGGCATCGACATACTGGCAGTTGTCTATCCCCCAACCAATACTTTTTGAAACTGATTTCCTGTCCTCATTACGGCTGTTTGTCTGCCCCGGTCTGATCGGGATTCAAAGGCAGGACGTGACTGTTAATAATTTTCAACGTCCCACGACTTATCGCACCGGACTGGTCATTTTCTAATTGATTTGTGGCCACGTGGCTTTCCAATTTAAATGCATGCTTGATTGGGAACACAAACAAAGGCATCCAGACGGTCGTGACTGGCAGCAAAAGTCCACAGATTTTTTTAAAGTTGACCGCACAAAGCTAACATTTTGCTGGCCAAAACACACATTCGCACGTCATGGCAACGGTACAGAGCCATGGAAACAAGGAACCATAGAACACTATCAGGAACATAAGCCAAACAATAAAACGGCAAACACCCGGCATTTACCCACTCTGGGCTACGAAAAGGATAAGGCCGTAAGTCGTTATGGTGCCGAGGCGTTCGTTCAGAAAACAGTAAGCACTGGCCTTAGTCGGCGGATTCAAACCCACCCAGTTGTCCTTCGTCCTTGCTGCTGTGCCTTATGGCGAAAACAAAGGCCGAAATAAAAGGCAGGCAAGGTCCGCCGGCATGTTCGAGGCATAAAGTAATTTTATAGAACAAATCACAGGCATTAGCGGATATAAATCCAGTTTATCCCCACCAGTGTATGCGCGCGTGAAATTCAAATAACTCGGGAGGGCACGCAACATTGGAGGGAGCAAGAAAAATGGTCGACTGTGGCCTGTCAGGGTCCTTGAAATGGTTCGGGGCTCGTAATCCCCACAAGTAACTATATATCTACATATCTACATGCATGCTAGAACTTATCCACCGTGGAAAGAAGAGACTTTCAAATGGCCCAACTCTCCTGGGAGACAAATTGCTTGGCCTTGGTCACAAGGCGGCATGGCAACAAAGGCTGTCCCAGCTGGCTCAACTCCACCTTAATGGCTAAACTTTAATAGCTTTAAGCGGGCTAATTTTTAAATCGAATTTCTCTCCACACAGGAAGACATGTTTATTTGATTTCGTAATTTTCACTTCCACATTTTAGTCACATTTCTGAAATTAAATCACAGCCGAATGCCGCCATGAATGGAATCAAAATCAAAAGAAAATGAAAATAGCCAACGCGATGTCCTGCACAACCACCATACAAACACAGGACATGACTTACACAAGCACCCATGCACCATAACCGACAAAAGTAGCCAATGTAATGACCAAAACAAAATATGAAAGAAATTGCGGACCGACCAGGGCCAAAGTCACAAGCAGAAGCAGAAGCAGAAGCAGAACCAGAATCACTACCAGAGCGCCACAGGAAGCCAACTTCCTGGTTGAAAATTTTATCTGGGTGGCCCTGGCAGCGACTACGAAAATGAAAGAGCCCAGCCAGCAAGAATAAAAAAAGAGAAGGCCAGAATCCGTTTATATGTATAAGAAACTGGCTTCAAGGACACCTCATGCTCCCTGCTGTTGCTGGCGGCTGCACAAGTACAACTACAACTACAGCTACAGCTACTACATCTATATCTAAGGCCCTGCCCAGGCACGCCCACAG